AACAAGGTCCCGTTTGTGCATGGCCCGCAGGCGCTGCACAGACGGGTGACCAAGGCGGTGGTGCCAGAGGACGGTGTCGTTCGCCAGAGAGCGACACGAGCAGGGGGCGGACAGCTGACCTGACGCTGACGCAGACGCAGCTACCTGAGGGGACTCAGTGGTCAGTGTGTACAGGTCAGACCCCGGCTCTCGAGTGAAAGTAGCTAGGTGGCGGCCCGTCCGAGCACACGTGCAGTGAGTCACACGCTCGTAGGCAGGGGTGAACTGGTGAACACCCCCGTCCTGGAGCGCACTACCTGCCACCAAGTTCGTGGAGAACGAGGGGAGGTAGAGACCTGAGAGCGTGCCGGACGGAACCGCTGGACACGGAAGGGTGGTGGAGGAGGTCGCAAGGACCGGACCCCCAGAGGGGTCAGCAAGAGAGACAGCAACCGGCCGAGCTAGAGGCTCAAGGACAGTGCGGTCACGAAAGAAAGAGCGAGAAGCACCTGAGTCCAGTGTGAAGGTGTGCAGTGCTGCAGTCGACTCAGTACCAGGGGGCACAGACGCACAAGCACCTAGAGCAGCAGCTGCAGTAGTACCTGTGGAAGCAGACACACTAGCACCTAGAGCAGCAGCGGGGCTGGCCTGAATGCCCGGGTCGGGCGGAACACGCAAGTACTGAGCACCCTCTCCACTAATAGACATCGCATACATGGCAGTGAGAATAGCATCAAAGTCCAGTGCCCAAATATCAACACCCTTCCTGAGCAGCTCAGCCCAGCGCGGCAGCTCACCCCCACCAGGAAACTGGGTGCGCCACGCATCGTTGAGGCGGGCGAAGCAGCGCTCCGTCTGGTGCGGCCCCCCACACGTCTGGCCAGTGCGGTCACCTGTACGAATAACGTACTGGCAGGTGACGCTGCGCCGCGCATACCACTCACGGGCGGCCTGAAGGGTCGGGGCAGGCTGCTGACTCTGACCGCCCCCCGGGCCTCCACGACCACCACCCCCTCCGCCTCCGCCCCGGCCACCTCCACCCCTGCCGCTGCCACGACCACCTCCGCCTCCGCTGCCACCTCCGCCCCTGTCACCACTCCCAACGCCGCTGTCACCTCCACCACTGCCGCCACTAGCCTCTCCAGTCGCACCTCCACCGCCACCACCTCCACCCCCGCCTCCTCCGCCACCACCCCCACTCCTGCCACTCCTGCCCCTGCGTCGTCCGCCTGAAGCAGACGCAGCCCCGACCTTCTCAGCACCAAGGAGGTCGACAGCAGCAGCAGAGGCGACAGAGGGGAGGAGGGGGGAAGGGGAGCACCCCTCGAAGAAGGGGCCGCGGGGGTCGCCACGAGAGGTGCCTACAGCGACGATACTAGCCTCGGCTGCAAGCAGTTCCTTCTCGAGGAGGTCTACGGTGAGCTCAGTGGGGGAGCGAGAGAGGAACTGGTCCCTGACAGGGCGCAGAGAGTCAGGGAGGCGGGTGACAACGTGGTAGAGAGTGATCCAGAGCGGGGGGGGGTTGCTAGCGAGGAACTCGTCAGGCATGGCAGCGCGAAAGCGAGCCTCACTAGTCTTAAGGTGGGTGATGAGGTCTGCGACAGTGTGAAAGGAGGCTAGGTCGGGGAACAGGTAGGGGAGAGTGAGGCGGCCTAGCGTGGCAGAAGCGGGTGAGGAGTAGCGGGCCACTACAGCTGTGTAGAGGTCCTTAGCAGTCTTGCACTGGCCGAAGTGCTCGCGCTCATCTAGCGGCAGGGAGTTGCGAATAGCAAAGCGAGCGTGCGCGTCACGGGTCTGCCACTGTGAGCGCTCAGCTGGGGGGGCAGTAGCGAGTGGGGCGGTCGCATGGCCGAGAGCGTGGTCGTACAGTGTAATATCTTCCTTGGCAGTGAGCTGTAGGAAAAGGTGCAGGTCATCTAGCCAGGTTTCGAATTTGACCGGACGGCCCTCGGCGTCGAAAGCTAGAACAGGAGGACTAGCCATAGCGACAGCGGCAGTAGTAGAAGCAGTAAAGTCACTGAAAAGGCGTGCGCAGGGTCAGCGGGGCCGGTGGGGCCTACGGACTGTAGTGGCGCACAAGCAGCAGTAGCAGGAAGTGTAGTAGTAGGATCTGCAGTGGTGCACAGGCGCAGCAGGCGGCAGCGAGAGCCGGCGCAGCAGGGGCGGGCTCAGCAGCGGTGATACGCGGGCGGCGGCGGGCGCAGCAGCGGCGGTGCGCGGGCGGCGGCGGGCTCAGCAGCGGCGGTGCGCGGGCGGCTGCGGGCTCAGCAGCGGCGGGCCGGGAGCAGGCAGCGCGCGGGCCGTGCGGGCCGTATATGAGCTGTGCGGGCAGCGTGCGGGCCGGCGGCGGTCAGCGCACGAGCCGCGCAGGCTCAGCGCGGGCTGCGCGGGCTGCTCGCGGGCTGCGTAAGCGGGTCGCGGGCGGCTCGCGGGGGTTCGCGGGCAGGTCGCGGGCTGCTCGCGGGCAGTTCGCGGGCTGTGCGCGGGCTGCGCGGGCTGGTCGCGGGCTGCGCAGGCGGTTCGCGGGCTGTGCGTGGGCGGTTCGCGGGCTGTGAGCGCGGCGCGCTGTGCGGTTCGCGGGCGGCGTGACGGGGCCGATCGGGGCGCTAAGGGGCGACGCGACGGGGGCCGTGAGAGGCCGCTAGGAAAAAAAAAAGTTCGACGGGGCCGCAGGGCCGCTAGATCGTGCTAGATCGACGGGGCCAGCGGGGCCGGAAACAAGCGAAGGTAAGCAGGTAGGTAAGTCGGTGGGCCCTAAGAACAGTCCTAGCGAAGGACCTGCTCTGAAACCATGTCAGAAATAACTGAGCAGGAATGGTGTGACTAACAGGAACAACAGTACAAATATGAAACCCTAACCTGGTATACCCCCTAAGGTATCACCCACTACAGCCTAGAACAATATAAACATATAATGTTTGACACTTCTGTGCGTTACTCTTTGGTGCGTCACACACAGTGCAAACGGTGCAAGCGGTGCAGCTTGGTAACCGCCGCTGTGCACCGCCCTAAGCGAGAGGCACGTCAGCCTCCATCCCAAAATTCAAAGCGCAAAAATCACTCCGAGAATTGAGGGGGACCCCAAGGTCACCATCGCGGGGGACCCCAAGGTCACCAGTGGGTGACCTCGGGGTCACCACGCGAAGTGAAAGCTGCAGAGGTTACCCGCAGGTCACCTAGACGAGGACCCCGGGGTATCCCGCCACGGGGTAGGCTGGGGGTAACCTGGGGGGGAGGTTTTCGCCCGAACTTTTTTGGGATGTCCAATCTCCCATCCCTCTTCCTCATATGTTCATTCCTCGAAGTAGCTTTCGAGACAGATCTTGGACTGTGCTTTTCGACGATATTTTTCAGGCTGTGAGATGAGAGAGCATTCTCTGCATCACAGAAACACCATATGCACTGATCACGGCTGCTGCTAGCCCTCTTTTTCGTGGATCTCTCTTCATCATCCTCCTGCTCTGTAAGCTCTAGGCTCAGAGGCTGATGTTAGCATCCAAATGTTTGCCCCAGTTTTAGAAACGAAATTACTTCTGAGTCGACTCAATAGTAAGCTCTAGGCTCCGAGGCTGATGCTAGTATCCAAATGTTTGCCCCAGGTTTAGAAACGAAATCTCGCTGAGCGCGGCAGTGAATGGCTTACTGCTTCAGCTGCAGCTTGGTGTTAACTGTTACCATGCTCGTGTCGCGCTGCTGCCCCGCAAGGTGCTGCTCTGTTCACTGCCGCTGCGTCTGCATCTTTCCTCGAACCGTTTCTCCCACGCGGCGATGGCGGCAGCGGCGGTCCTCTCGCTTTACTAACCGCTCAGACATCCAGGCCACAGATTTGGCAAGGAAAAGTTTTTGGTAAAAATCTCTTGCCATACAAAGCTCCTGGTATTATTAGTAATAATAATTTAACCTGTTTTCGCCGCGACGTCTGTGTGTCGCAATCGCCAATTTTGAAGCTATTCTTCTCCTCAACTGACACTCGCACTGACTCAGCTATTGTCCTTCCACTGACTCTCGCACCCCATCTGATTCTTATTTTCAGAGAAGTTGTCAGAATATTATGCTCTAGCCTGTAGTGGGGTGCTCTATAGCGAGTACAACCCTTCTAGGGTTTGCTATTTGTATCCCCATTCTTGCTAGTGCAAACCCTCCTTTGCTCATTTCTCTCTTGCCTAGCTAGGGTTTACCTAGCTATGGCTCATGATTCTAGCTCCTATTTTGACATGCTATCAGAGCGGTTACGCTCCTGGCCTGTGGGCCCGCCTGCTTCCGCTGCCTTCCTGTGTGTCGCGCGTCCCGTGGCGCGCGATGTTCGTTGCGCGGCGGTTTTCTGCCCGTCGTGCGCCCTGAGGCGCACAGCGGTTTCCCACCGTCGAAGCGCCCTCCGTCACCCGTCGAAGCGCTCCCCCCCGTCGCCCGTCGAAGCGCCCCCGTCGCCCGTCGGAGCGCCCCCCGTCGCCCGTCGAAACGCCCCCGTCGCCCGTCGAAGCGCCCCTGGGACCCGCGCGCGGCCCGTACGGGCTGCGCCAGGCCCGCGCGCGGCCCGTACAGCCCGCGCGCGGCCCGTACGGCCTGCGCCAGGCCCGCGCGCGGCCCGGGCAGCCCGCGCGCGCCTCGTCCGGCCTGCGGCAGGCCCGTGCGCGCGCCTCGTCCGTCCCCCGAGCTTCTGCCGGCGCCCCACCCCCGCTACTGCCCGCGTTCCTGTGTTAGGGTTTGGGGGTGGAGGGTATGGGGGTGCCGTGAGTGTGAGCCGTCCCCTGCTCCTCCTCCTCCTCCGTCTCCCACTGCTGCAGCTGCCGCTGAGGGGGGTGGGTGTGTGGGGAGCCGAAGGAGTGGTGTTAGAGGGGTGACGTGGGAGTGGAGTTAGGGGTTGCAGCAGGGGGTGTGTGTTGGGGGGTGCCTGGCGGAGACCGTAGACCGGCCGCTGAAGCCTCCACTGGGTACCAGGAGGAAACGACCCAGTGAAGCCAGGTGGGCGGCGCAGCCAGATCTCCTCGTGCAGGCTGCCCTGCAAGAAAGCAGTGCTGAAGTCAAGTGAGTGAAGCTCGTAGTCGCGGTGAGCGGCTATGTGCAGTAGCACCCGAAGAGTAGTCATCTTCGGGGTGGGGGAGAAGGTCTGGAAGAAATCAACTCCCTCTCGCTGACTGAAGCCTCGAGCCACGTAACGCGCCTTGAAGACAGGCGGAGAACCCGGCGGCCGCTTCACCCTGAAAATCCACATGCCACTGACGATGTTCGCCCCAGGAGGGGGAACCTCGTCGACGTAGGTGCATGTGGACTTCCAGGAGGCCATCTCGGCGTCCATGGCTGTCTGCCACTGAGAGGAGTAGGGACCCGCCATCGCCTCAGCGTAAGTGCGCGGGGTCGGGATGTCTGGTGCATCCGGGTCTCCCTCAGGGGCAACTAGCAAGGACACGAGACGGGGCAAAGCAGCAGCAAGACACTGGAACTCCTCCTGTCTGTCCTCAAGGACGTCCGTGCCAAGAGCACACTCACCCCCGACGGACGGAGGACAGACAGACTCAGACTCAGGCTCCGCAACAAGGCTAGCAGCGTAGTCTAGACGACAGGCAGCAGCAAAGTCAACCAACTCAGCGACCAGAGCAGACGCAGTCGAGGACTCAAAGGTAGGGTCAGTGACAACAGTAGCAAGGAGACGCGTGACAGTAGGGTGCTCAGCACGGTACCGGTCAGACTCAGGGTCCGGAACGTGAGGCAAAGAAGACGCAGGAGGAGACGGTAGAGGGACACGCTGAGGAGCAGTAGAGGGACGCAGAGTCATGTAGTGAGTGCCTGGGACAGGAGGAGGACGCTCACGACGGACACGACTACCAGTGCGAGCAGGACGAACAGGCGACGCAGGACGAGACTCAGGCTCACGACGCTCTGTAAGACCTCCTGTGGGACCAGTGTAAGGAGAGGGAGCAGGAAGAGGCGAGGTAGGCGGTAACTGTGACTGCGGCTGGACAGGCAGAGGACACTCTACAGAGGGAGGAGGACAAGGAGGAGGAGCCTGCCCAAGAACCTGCTGAAGGAGCGGTACGAAGTACGGTCGCGGCCGCGCAGCGTCTCCAGAAGCAGAGGAGACTCCAGCGGCCGGGTCCACAGCACCAGCAGCAGCTCCACCGGCCGGGTCCTCAGCACCAGGAGTAGCTCCAACGCCCGGGTCCTCAGCAGCAGCAGCAGCGCCACCGCCCGGGTCCTCAGCTCCAGCAGCAGCTCCACCGTCCGAGTCCTCAGTACCAGCAGCAGCTCCACCGTCCGGGTCCTCAGCACCAGCAGCAGCGCCACCGCCCGGGTCCTCAGCTCCAGCAGCAGCTCCAACGTCAGAGTCCTCAGCACCAGCAGTAGCTCCACCAGGCGGGTCCGCAGTACCAGCAGCAGCTCCCACGTCCGGGTCCTCAGCACCAGCAGCAGCGCCACCCCCAAAGTCCGCAGCACCAGGAGCACCACTCCGAAGACTGCAGCGCCGTGTGTACCACTCGCGGATCTGCTGAATGGGGGGGAGCTCCTGGGTAGGAGGGGAAGTACCGGGACGAGCTCCAGCAGCACCTCTCCGGAGGCGGCAGTACTCGAGGTACCTCTCCTGCAGCTGCTGGGAGGAGAGGGCTCCTCCAGGTGTAGCACGCTCAGGCTCAGCACCCCCAGACGCAGCACCCCCAGACCCAGCACCCCCAGGCTCAGCACCTCCAGGCTCCGCACCTCCAGGCTCCGCACCTCCTGGCTCAGCACCCCCAGGCTCCGCACCCCCAGACTCAGCACTCCCAGGCTCAGCACCCCCAGACGCAGCACCCCCAGGCTCAGCACCCCCAGACGCAGCACCCCCAGGCTCAGTACCCCGAGCAGGACGAGAGTCAACAGCTACCTCGACAGGCTCACCCGGGTCTACCTGGGACACACCTGAGGGAGCGGCACCCTGAGGGGGGAGGGGGTCTGGTACCTCAGCACCTGGAGCGAGGAAGAGCGGCGGGGGGGGGAGCGGGGCAGTGCGGTAGGGGAAGAGGCGGTAGTAGGGGACGGACTCGTCAAAAGTGACGTCCTGAGAGGCCAGGACACGCCGCGAGGTGGGGTGGTAGAACTGCCAACCAGGGGCGTCCGGGACAAAGCCAAGGAAGACGCAGGGGACAGCGCGACGGGAGAGCTTGTCCGCGGACGTGTCGCGGACAAAAGCTCGGGATCCCCAGACCCGAAAACGCGACGCATCGCCAGCCTCTCCCGTCCAACGCAGTGTCGGAGAAGTCTCGGGCAAGGAGACACGGGGCCAGAGGTTGAGCTGATGCGCAGCGTATCGGACTGCAAACGGCCACAGAAAGTGGGGGGCAGCCGCATGAACCAAGGAGGTACGAGCGACCTCCATGACCAAGCCAATGCGGCGCTCAGCAACCCCATTCTGCTGTAGAGAGGCCGGAAGCGTGAACGACTGCTCAATGCCCTCCTGCTGACAGAAGGCCTCCAAGAGGCCAGAGGAAAACTCTCCACCTCTGTCAGAGTGCAGACGCAGGACAGGGAAGTCGGAGTGGAAACGCTCACTGAGCTGGAGACGAGATCTGCGGATCCAAGGGATCAAGACATCAGGGACGTCACCCTTGGTGCGCAAGGGGAAGACCGTGGTGTAGCGCGAGAAGTCGTCAACAACAATCAGGAAGTACCTCTCCTGACCCTGGCCACGTCCATGTGGAGCGTCTGCAAAGGAGCAGTCGTCGGGGGAAAGGAGGAGGAGTGAGGAGCGGCGCGCTGCCGCCCCTCGACACAGGGAAGACAGGGAGGAGCAGGTGAGGCTGGAAGGGGAGGGAGCACCCTGGGAAGCCCAGCAACAAGGTCCCGTTTGTGCATGGCCCGAAGGCGCTGCACAGACGGGTGACCAAGGCGGTGGTGCCAAAGGACAGTCTCATGCACCAGAGAGCGACACGAGTAGGGGGCGGACAGCTGACCTGACGCAGACGCAGACGCGGACGCAGCTACCTGAGGGGAGTCAGTGGTCAGTGTGTAAAGGTCCGACCCCGGCTCCCGAGTGAAGGTAGCCAGGTGGCGACCCGTCCGAGCACACGTGCAGTGGGTCACGCGCTCGTAGGCAGGGGTGAACTGGTGAACACCCCCGTCCTGGAGCGCACTACCTGCCACCAAGTTCGTAGAGAACGAGGGGAGGTAGAGACCTGACAGCGTGCCGGACGGGACCGCCGGACAAGGAAGGACAGTGGAGGAGGTCGCAATGACCGGACCCCCAGAGGGGTCAGCAAGGGAGACAGCAACTGGCCGAGCGAGTGGCTCAAGGACAGTGCGGTCACGAAAGAAAGAGCGAGAAGCACCTGAGTCCAGGGTGAAGGTGTGCAGTGCTGCAGTCGACTCAGTACCAGGGGGCACGGACGCACGAGCACCTAGGGCTGCAGCCTCACCAGGACCTGTGGGAGGAGACGCACTAGCACCTAGAGCGGCAGCCGGACTGGCCTGAATGCCCGGGTCGGGCGGAACACGCAAGTACTGAGCACCCTCTCCACTAATAGACATCGCATACATGGCAGTGAGAATAGCATCAAAGTCAAAAGCACAAATATCAACACCCCTCTTTTCCAGATCAGCCCAGCGCGGCAGCTCAGTGGCAGCAGGAAACTGAGTGCGCCACGCGTCGTTAAGGCGCGCGAAGCAACGCTGCGTGGGGTGCGGCCTCCCACACTGCTGGCCGCTGCGGTCACCTGTGCGAATGACGTACGTGCAGGTAAAGCTACGCTGCGCATACCACTCACGGGCGGCCTGAAGCGTCGGGGCGGGCTGCTGACTCTGCCCTCCGCTAGTGCCTCCACGACCACCACCCCCAACGCCGCCACCCCTGCCGCCGCCACGACCACCTCCGCCTCCGCTGCCGCCTCCACCACCACTCCCACCGCTGCTGTCTCCTCCCCCACTGCCGCCACTAGTCTCCCCAGCCGCGCCTCCACTCCCACCGCCTCCACCCCCACCTCCTCCGCCGCCACCCCCACCCCTGCCCCCCTTGTTCCTGCGGCGCCCACTCGAAGCAGACGCGGTCCCGACCTTCTCAGCACCAAGAAGGTCGACAGCAGCAGCAGAGGCGACAGAGGGGAGGAGGGGGGAAGGGGAACACCCCTCAAAGAACGGGGTGCGGGGGTCGCCACGAGAGGTGCCTACAGCGACGATGCTCGCCTCAGCTGCAAGCAGTTCCTTCTCGAGGAGGGCAACAGTGAGCTCAGTGGGGGAGCGAGAGAGGAAGTGGTCCCTGACTGCGCGCAGAGAGTCAGGAAGGCGGGTGACGATGTGGTAGAGAGTGATCCAGAGCGGGGGGGGGTTGCTAGTGAGAAACTCGGCAGGCATAGCAGCGCGAAAGCGGGCCTCACTAGTCTTAAGGTGGGTGATGAGGTCTGCGACAGTGTGAAAGGAGGCTAGGTCGGGGAACAGGTAGGGGAGAGTGAGGCGGCCTAGCGTGGCAGAAGCTGGCGAGGAGTAGCGGGCAACTACAGCGGTGTAGAGGTCCTTAGCAGTCTTGCACTGGCCGAAGTGCTCGCGCTCGTCTAGCGGCAGGGAGTTGCGAATAGCAAAGCGAGCGTGCGCATCACGGGTCTGCCACTGGGAACGCAGAGTGCTGTCAGCAGTCGAGTCAGGGGCAGTGGCATGGCCTAGGGCGTGGTCGTACAGTGAGATATCTTCCTTGGCAGTGAGCTGTAGGAACAGGTGCAGGTCATCTAGCCAGGTTTCGAACTTCACTGGACGGCCCTCGGCATCGAAAGCTAGAACTGGCGGACTAGCCATAGTGACAGTAGCAGTAGTAACAGTAGTAGTAGGAATCAGGCCGCTGGAAAGGTGTGCGGAGGGTCAACGGGGCCGGCGGGGCCGCTAGGCAAGGCGCGGGCGGGGTCGACTGTCCGTAGTGGCACACGAGCGGCAGTAGTAGGTAGCGTGGCAGCAGGAGCTGCAACGGTGCACTGGTGGCTACTGTAGTGGCAGCAGTGCGCGCGGTAGGTAGAAGGTAAACAACAGTGAGAGCGAGTGCCTCGCGGGCGGCGGCTGCAGAAGCGCACAGGCGGCAGCGGCGCACTGGGAACGGCGGTGCACGGGCAGCGGGAGCGCACGGGCAGCGGCGGCGCACAGGCAGCGGCGGCGCTCGGGAGGCAGCAGTGCGCAAGCAGCAGCGGAAGCAGCGGCGTACGAGCGGCTGCGGGCAGCGGGGCGTGCGCTAGCAGGCGACGGGCGGCTGCGGGGCGTGCACGAGCAGGCGACGGGCGGCTGCGGGGCGTGCGCGAGCAGGCGACGGGCGGCTGCGGGCGGGCGGCCGCTGCGACAGCGGGCTGCGGGCCTGCGGGACGTGCGCGAGCAGGCGACGGGCGGCTGCGGGGCGTGCGCGAGCAGGCTACGAGCGGCTGCGGGGCGTGCGCTAGCAGGCGACGGGCGGCTGCGGGGCGTGCGCGAGCAGGCGACGGGCGGCTGCGGGGCGCGCGCGAGCAGGCGACGGGCGGCTGCGGGGCGCGCGCGAGCAGGCGACGGGCCGCGCGCGAGGGAAATAAGGCGCGCGCGGGGAAAAAAAAAAAGGCCGCGCGCGAGCGGCTAAGGGGCGGCGCGACGGGGCCTTAAGGGGCGGGTCGCGGGTCGCGGGAGGTAGGGGCCGTAAAAAAAGTTCGAGGCGCCCTAGGTAGGTAGGTAACGGTGGGCCCTTAAAAAAACGGTCCTAGCGAAGGACCTGCTCTGAAACCATGTCAGAATGAACGGACAGGAATGACTGTACTAGCACAAAGTTGGATACAAGTAGTAAACCCTAATCTAGTGTACCCCCTAAGGTGTAACCCACTACAGCCTACAATCATATAAACATATAATGTTTGACAGTGGGACAGTTGGAGGAGGTTGGGTGGAGGCAGCCGTCGTGTCGTCTGCAGCGCCTGTATTCCGGGGTTCTGATAGCCACCGGTAGCTCAGAGAGCCGGTTGCACCTGTCGCCCGTGGGTCCGTTGCTCCTGTCGCTGCTGATCAGACGCAGAGCCTGTTACTCCTGTATTCCGGGGCCCTTGCTCCCGGTAGCCACTAGAGCTGCACCAGAGCCGTCTGTTGCCCGTGTGTCTGCAGCTTCAGTCGTCGCCTCCACTCCTCTCTCCCCTCGCCAGCCCTCCTCCTCCTCACTTGCCCTCTGTGACCACCTCTAGCTTTGCTCATAATTGTGAACTTTAAACTATTGCTTCTTGAACTTGTGCTCAGAATGTGTGGTGACATTGTGATCCACCCTGAGCTTGTACTGCTTTGCTTGCTCTGCTGATTACACCCCACTTTGGCTATGGGGGTGTGTCAGAATATTATGCTCTAGCCTGTAGTGGGGTGCTCTATAGCGAGTACAACCCTTCTAGGGTTTGCTATTTGTATCCCCATTCTTGCTAGTGCAAACCCTCCTTTGCTCATTTCTCTCTTGCCTAGCTAGGGTTTACCTAGCTATGGCTCATGATTCTAGCTCCTATTTTGACAGAAGTATGTGGCCAATTTGCGTCCAACTATTATCAATGGAAAATTAGTGGGTGACAAAGGTGCATGAGGGATCGTTGTCTTCAAGGGTGTGAGGTACGTCCCCGCGCCATTTTACCACCTCTATTCTCATATACACAGGACTGAGGAATGACTCGGGTTGCTCTCTTAAACGCTAACCCCCGTGACATGATGTCCTACCTTCGATCCTGTTTTTCAGCTATGGAGGTCCGGTGAATGCCTATATGGAGGTTCATGTACTTTTCCGGAACCTCAAGTCTGGAGGAACAAGCCCAAAAGCTGGTCAAGGAAGTTCCTGCTCTGCTACTGCTCCTGACATCGACGCCGTCCCAAAAAAGGTCTCACCCCAACCTGACCCGAAATTGACTTCGAGGTCACCTTCGGGTCACGCGCGTAGCTTCAGCTAGGGTCCCAGGGTCCGTCAAGTTTGGGTCACCCGAACCAAACCCCAACCTCACCTCGCAGCTAACCCAGAGGTGACGCGGCGGTTAACACTGTTCATCCGAGTCGCCCACCACAATAGAGTGATCCACTATATGCTATTGCAAATGCGATACTGTTCCTGCTACACTACGAGTAATTTGAAATTCTAATTCTATATAATTATTACATACAATACTTCAGCAGCTAGAAAGTTTAGATTAGAATTTGCACCAGCTGTACATGACAGACATAATACGCACATCTACACACTACATAGCGACGCGACATGGTAAGTAACAAAACACTATACGGTAGATCTTGCAGCTTGAACGCCACCTGCCACACACCAGCAGCAGACAGAGAGTCTATTCCCCCCAAACGCAATAAATGCAGCCGGAAAAAAACATTAACATGTAAACAACAGTACATATCTTAGTGCTGCACTAATTATTACTTCCACAACACATCGAAAATGCCCATACTCTTCGTTCACCAGATAAGCGTGGCGCGTGCTGCACACGTCATAATAGAATTGTCAATGGTCTTTTGTCTTGCAGACGAGCCCTTAACAACAGCCAACATACCGCCACATGCACTGATGTTGGGTTAAGGAACGGGAAAGTAAAGTAGACGCTTTCTCACATCGTCGATAGTCACCCACGGCTGCTAGTACCCTCGATTGGAGCCGTTGCTGCCCTTCGTGAGACCTTCGTCGCTCCCCACTAACGCCATCACCGCCACCCGCTGAAACCCCCGCGCCATCTCTCCTTGCCACCACCCTTCGCGTCCCTTCCCACCGGCGCTCGATCAGGAGGCGGCAGCTCCGACGCCGGCGCGACGGTGGATGCGGTGGGGGCTTCGCTTGAAGAACCTGCGAAAGCGAGAGGCAAGGAGAAGGGCAAAAAACCTTTCAATTTCATAATTTAAGAGAAGCATGGGGGCAAAGTTGTGCGTCATATTAGGTGTACGGCATCACTAACGCATGGTAATCTAACTAAACACGACAAAACACGACCCGATCGAGCATTATTGCTGCCTGAATATGTTTCCTAAGTGCTGTGTGCGTACACAAGCAGTCACAGCATCTGTAGCGAATGAAAATGGACTCAGCAGCAGAGCAGGCTTAACTTGGTGTCTGGCTGCAAAATCGCAGTACTAGACGGTTCGGAAAGGTTTAACGACGATAATGGGGTTTGGCGAGGTGTTTTGATGAGTTGGATGTGTGGTTCTCTTTTGCTTTGTGCAGCCAATTTTCGTGTGGTGGGTGTGGAGCTTTCGGCGCAGCTGGCAGATTATGACCACCTGTGCATCACAGGTGGCGCTAAATTACTGCTCTAAAACCGCTGAGTTGGCGATGCTTCCAATTTTCAGACCAATGGCTAGGCCAGAGTGTACAAGTCTTGCCTGTTTCTGGTTGTATCTAGTTCATGGTGCTCGGGATAGGCTGCTCCGATTTCGCGAAGTACCTGAATTACGACCGCGGGGGAGGTTTTGTAACTTCGTTTCGGTCGAAGTTCGTACTTGGTGACGCAACGGGTGCTACGCTTGTCACACGAATTCAAAGCGTGTTACCAGATTCTCCTGCAAGTAAATCGATATAACATTTCATTAGAGAAAACGTGCACTCTGTACTTGCTATTAAGAGTACTCGTAAGCATAGTAACATCTATGTTGATATTCGGGACATCAAAAACAAAATAACGATATTTTGATTCAAAAAATATTCGCTTTAACTAAAGTAGAACCATTCGTAGTAAATATTACGACTATTATTTCCCGAATAATTTCGCAAATGGTTTTATATTACATCCCAAACGTTCGTGCTCTATGTTTTAAATATCTAATGTAATGAAAATGTGTAATATGTAGATGTTTTTGCTTGGGTTATTTCTATTGTAATCGTTTCAGATTTGTTTTCTTGTTCTGGTACACTGTTTTGTCGAGTAATATGAATTATTAATTTTCGGGGCATCGGATTGGTCAATGTTTGCCTAAGATGCGATCCGGGGCGGCGCATACCTTTGATTCGTCAATGTTTGCGTTTTTGCGACTCGTAAAATCTGGACGTGTCTGATTGGTCAATGTTTGTTGGATCGCGGTTCGGTGCTTTTGGACGGCGCCCCGCTGGTCAGGTTGGGGTCAGTTGGGGGTCAGGGGGGGTGATTTTCCTGAAATTCAATAACCCCCGAGTGACCTTCGGGTGAAAAATGTGCGCACCTGACCCCGAAGTCACCTTCGGGTGAGGAATCGGGAACCCAGTAGTCACTTGGGGGTTCCCGATTTTCAAGGGTCAGCCCCAGGTGGTCAACATTTTGGAGATGTCCCTATCTGAACCTCACCACATTGAAGGCTGGCCGTCGGAAGCGCTACACATTTGGATACACTTCAACTCACGGGACAGCGTCTGAAGCATATATCAGTGCCGCTCTTGCGCAGATTAATGCTCAGGGGCCATATGCTATAGTGGGCCATGCAAAAAACCCGAGGGCACTCTGTGGAAAAATCAAGAGAAAGGTGTAATGAGTGGTTTACCATCGTTGGTGTGTTATTTACCTTACCGATAAGAGCCTGGTGATGGGCAGCACCACAGTTTTATCATCTGAAGTCCAGCTCTGGTTTAAAGTTTAGGGTTAATGACAGCATCTGTGTAGTCAATGAGGGGATATACATTTTTCTAATAGGCCTCCCTAGCTATAGTACCCCTTCAACATTAGTGTGCAGTACAGCAAGCGGGTAATGGGAACGCGTATTGTGTTTTTATGGTACCATCTTCTGGAATCTGGATTCTCTGGATCCTTCAGAAGAGGCTGCATCCTGTTTGTAATGTTTGTGATGTTATCAATTGAGAACATATGCTTGCAAGAATATTGTACCATGTCAAACAGTTGATGGTCGTGAAGAAGGGTTAGTGCATGGTGGTAGTTTTGCATGGGGGCAATCGCTTCCGCGTTGGCGTTATATAGGTAGCGAGCTTCTTCCTTAACGAGTTTTGACGTGTCAGCGTGACGTAGCTGCACCTGCTTCGTTCGCCTTACCTCCTGACGTCATCCTCACCTCCCCCCATCGCCTCGCCCCACCTCACCTCACCCCGCCTCGCCACGCTACTGTGTGTCGCGATCACGCGAATCGAGTGCCACACACAAGCTCGTTGCTTCGCTTCTGCGTAACCTTTCCATGCATAAATGCGCTTCGCTTCGCTTTTTCTGTTCACACTGCGTTGAACAGTCACGATCGCGCGGGTTCGCCCTTTTCCCTGCTTGTTTTGCGGGCTGCGGCTTCCAGGGATTGCTTCTTGGTCATGCGATCTGTCGCCGCCTCCTGTGCGATTCGCACCATTCGTGGAACACGTTGACCGTCGCACAGCCGCTTAGGGTCGCACGGTCGCTAGTCGCACAGGCACGAAACTTCGCACAATCAGTTGGACTCTCGACAACTGTTTTGGACGCGTTACAGCCTCTTCGCAGGCCTTTCGCGAACCCCTTGGCGCATCGGCAATTGTCGCCGGCAAGCGTGAGTCGCATCGTCATGGCTTCGACTGGCGACGCCTTCTGCGATCCCTGCGACAACAAGTCCTTTTCGCACGCGACGATGGGCGCCGCAAACAATGCCGCTCCGACACCAAAATCTGCCACCAGAATCCCCTCCCACGTTTCGCAAGCGGCCGAATCCACGTTCGCGAACCCGGCGAAACCAACCGTTAGTAACCCGACCTGCGCGATGAAGCAGGGAGACGGAAACGCGGCGAAGGTTCCACGAAAGAGGCCTGTCAGACGAATGGATAGCAGCGACCCGTTGGCGCTACTGAAGGCGCTCGCGCCCATGCAGGTACGGCGCGCGCCAATGCAGGTACGGCGCTCGCGCCCATGCAGGTACCTCTAAATTTGCGTTATGCCGCATTGCAGGTTCTAAACGTGATGCCTCTCACCTCGCCCCTGCTCGTGCTGCTGCTTGCTCTTCCTGCTTGCCTCAACCCTCCTGCCATCGTTAGAGTTAAAGCAAAAGACGAACTCCCTTCTTCCGCTCCTCACCTCCATTTCAGGTGCCCCTGGGAGCAAGCATGCTCACGGCTCTTGTTCTCCCGCGCCCTAGCCCCTCACTCTCACTGCAGTTCTCATCCGCTTCCCCTCTGTGTGTGTGCGTGTGTGTCTCCCTCTCTCTCTCTATCTCACTCTCTCCGCAGGTTCTCATTGGAGCAGGCATGCTCACGGCTCTAATCCTCCCCCGCCCCACTGCTGCCGCCCTCCTGCCGCCCATTCTGCGCACTGTCTCTCTCTCTCTCTCTCCCCCCCCCCCCCTTCCCTCTCTCCGCAGGTGCTGCTGGGAGCGGGCATGCTCACGGCACTCATTCTTCCCCGCCCCATCGCCCTCGCCCTCACGGCTGCCGCCCTCCTGCCACCCATTCTGCGCACTGCGCTGCACAGCTGGCGCTGGAGTCATGCCAGGACGGGCGGTTCTGGGGGAGGTGCATCTGTGGGGAAGGGGGAGGGGGGGAAGAAGGGGGAAGGGAAGGCGGAGGGGAAGGGAGAGGGCAAGAGGGAGGGGAACAAGGGGGAGGTTGGAGCTGAAAGTGAGGGGCTTCTGGGGGAGGTGTTATTTGAGGCAGATAAGACAATGGCGAGTGGGAAGGAGAACGGAGACAGTGGGCGGCACGAGGCGGCAGGTTCTGGAAACGTGCTGTCTGTCAACGGGATGGATATCTTCCAGGGCCGGATGGCTGGCAAGATGGACGGCGACTTTTGTCTGTTTCTGATCGGAGCGAGGGCCAACAACCCTTTCCCCCTGGGTCCCGCGTTCGCTTCTATTGGGGAGGTCTTCAATCAAGCTGTGAGGTGAGCTGAGTGTTGAGACAGGCTGAAAACTTATTGGAGCGAGGGCCAAACAAACCCTTCCCAATAAGTTCCCGCCCCGCGTTTTCTTCGATTGGGGAGGTCTTCGCGCAATCCAGGTGGTGAGCCTTGGGCTTTTTTTGGATTTTTCTGTGGCATGTTGAAAAGGCGTGTGTGTTGAATGACTCTTGCAGTGAGGTGAGTCGTGGGCGCGGTTTGACATTTGCGTTTGGATGTTCAAAAGAGTGATGTGCCTTGATGTTTGCGGGCGTGTTGCTTCTGCTGAAGGTCTGAAAAGTTGGTGCAGTGTTTTTAGGAAGTTAAATCCTCTTGGCTGTTCGGTTCGGGTGATTGTGCTGGTGCGAGGGGTGATACTTGTGTTAAGAAGCTGACAGCTGTGGTGTGAGGTGGGGTGAAGTGCCACGTGGGCATGGACAGGACACGTGGTGCTTATACTTGATACTGTGTACTTCATACTTGCACGCCTGTGTTTGGCAGGGAGCTGGAGCAGGAGAGTGAGAGGTTTGGGTTCCTGGGTGGAGACCATTATGTGGGCACGGACGTGACACGGGGCTCGCAGACAATCGCTGTCATGTACTGGCGCTCCTACGACCACCTTGTTAATTATGCCAACGACCAGAACCTCGTGCATGGCTCGGGTATGTGCTCTGGGCATCAATTTCAGTCAGGTACATCCTGGGACCTGGGTGGCTCGCAGACAATTGCTGTCATGTACTGGCGCTCATATGACGACCTTGTTAATTATGCCAACGATCAGAACCTTGTGCACGGCTCGGGTACGTGCATTGGGCATGGCTCAAGTCTGTGGTGAGAGGTTTGGGTTAGGTTAGGTGATTTTCCTGAGTCATGGATTAGGTGACTTAGCGGAGTGGGTCATGTATTTATTTCAGCGTCTCCTATATTCTGCCTGTTTCCAGCTTGTTTCCTCTCCAGCAACCTTCTTTTCGCCCTGCATTCCGGAACCTTGTCTAGTCGTAGCCTCTCTTCCAATCCCCCCCCTGCTTTTCCATACACACAACACACCATACTATCTCCCTCCTTACATGCAGCATGGAAGCGAATGACTCAGCTTCTGAGGGAAGGTCCTGACATCGGCGTGTGGCATGAATCATATGCAATCAGCGCAGGGCAGTACGAGTCTATTTATGTCAACTGCCCGGCGTTTGGGCTTGGGGCGGCAGGAAAACTTGTGCCGGCCTTTGGTCCTTTGGCCACGTCTAGATGGAGAATGAGAGAGGGAGGTGCGGTGAAAAGGAAGGAAGGGGAGGGAGAGGAAGCAGCGAAGCTGCCAGTAGACCGAAAAGTGGGTGGTGGCAAATGTCCAATGGGATTCTGACCTTATTTGCTTTTCTTGTGGGTCCAGAATAATGTATAATGAATTGCACTATTACATCAGTGGCTACAATGGAACTACACCCCTACCAAGCCAGGCTAGTAATCTACCCCCAGGTGACGGAACAAACTACCCCAAACAATCCCGTGTCAGTCAGTCATGTTTCTATCCCCCTGTGTATGCGTGGGGGGCTGTGCGGAGCAGGGGCCCTCTGTATGTTTTTTTTTCCGTGTTTCCAGTATTTCGTCCCCAGATCCCCCCCTTCTTCCGTCTCCTTTCTCGGCTTGCCTCCATCCGTAATGCGTATGTGTAATTTATCGCCGCCTTCTTGTACACGTATTTGAAGTATTGGGCTCCGACCTTGGGTGTTTCACAACCCCTCAAGCTCCATCAACCGTGGCCCGCAAATTCTCGCTCTCTCGTTGTATCGCAGCGTGATCTCAGCACCCTGGCGTATTCCGCAGCACCGCAGCAGTCACATACAGCCCCGGTTCACCAGTAGAGTCCCCGCCCTCCAGTCGTCAGCCTTATTCCCCACCCTCCTCTCCCCTCCCCACCTTGTCCTCCTTTTCTCCTCAGGTGAAGTCTTCATTCTCTCTCCACCCCTCCTCCCCCGCTGTTTTCCAGTCTTATCGCGTCTAGTTGTACCAGCTATTGAACGATCCTGCCAAGTTAGGCTTCTTGTTGGTGGGACTGAGACCAGTAGACGCAGCACCAGCCACACCTCCTCCCGAGCCGCCTGACACGTCATCCTGAAGCTTCTGCCACAGCTCGTCCCCGACCACGCAGTGGGTAGATTCAGTGAATGTGAACGTGTCAAACGGAACCCCTGCTGCTCGCCGGTTTTTCTGCACGCTGTCTAACGAGTTTTTAATGTTGTTGGAGAAGTACTGTAGCTGGCTGATCTGCTGCGGGGTGCACTTTTTGAGGTGGGAACCGAGGCAGCGTACAAGCGGGTTGGCTTTCCCCTTGGCCTTTGGCGACATGGCGATCGCGACGGCCTTGTAGTCCACCAGCGAATTTACGACGAACATTGGCGATTTGACGAACTTGAGATTGTATTCGGGGAAGAAACACTTCCACGTGGAATCACTTGGTTCCATGGCTGTGAGGAGAAGAGGTGACGGGAGGCAGCAACAAGAAGTCGAGAAGTGAAAAAGAGAAGAAAGACAGAGTGAAGGGAGGAGGGGATGCGAAAATGTAAACAACTCAGATGCGCTTTGCGAAGCGCTTTCCATCTGTCGTTAAATCTCAACACCCACTACCACAACCACCACAACAGACGGTTAGCCACGTTATGGTTACAACTACTACACGCACCATCCTTGCAGTCGCCGTTGATCCCAATGCGGTCGATGTCATGCAGTGCTGCCAGCCGCTGCACCTTCTCCCGCAGCGATCGCTCCCCGTTCACATCCACCACGTCTGTGGGGCACAGCGAAACGCAGGGGAAATTTTGAAAACCCAAACATAAGAGAAAACGGGTAGAGAGTGTAAGCAGCGCCACTGGGGGCAACTGTTACACAGAGCACCACCACTCAAAAAAATTGCCGCAGGATAGCATCCGGCAGGAAAATGGTCCTAGATACAGCCTCCCTAAAAAACGGCCTCGCCTACCTGGGAAGAACCCTCCGTCCATGAAGCACTTGGTTTTGATGCCGTAATCCTTAAGCCACGTGGCGATCTGGTCGCACTTGATCGACACCGCCACCGCGCCCGCGCTGCAGCCCCCCACCAGCACCTCCTCCCCGTGGTTCAGATTTTGAGTGTCTAGCAGGTCTGAGACCGGGGGACACGGGGAGAGCAAAAGGGGAAGAGAAGAGAGTGGGTGGGTCTCAAGCCGCTGTTCGCAGCCCCCCACCAGCACCTCCTCCCCGTGGTTCAGATTCTGAGTGTCCAGCAGGTCTGAGACGGGGTAAACGAGGAGCGCGGGGAACCAAGTCAAGAAGAAAGAATTTCAGGTGAAAAATCTCTTTGCACCGAGTTTGTCGTCCTCCCGTGGTTCAGGTTCTGATAGTTTCCCGTGGTCTTCCCGAGCTTTAAAACAAAAGAGACATACCTTGAAGCACGCCGTTCAAGTTCCAGTGTCCCCGGTAGTAGAGCGTCTTGCCGGTCTCCTCCGTCTTGTTCTTCTTGCCTGATCCGCCGGTGAAGGAGCTGCCGTCGCAGTACTTGACGAGCACCACATTCCAGTTGTAGAACTGGGGGTTAATCCCCGCGTCGGGGCTCGCCACTCCGCCGAAGTGCACGTCCTGCAGGGAGAGAAAGGGAAAAGCGCAGGAGGGCAAGGGAACGGAGGAGGTGAAGGGAACGGAGGAGCGGAAGGGAGAACGGATATGGAGAGAGGGGCAAGGAATTCTCGGTCTCAAGGAAGGAGTGGCGCAGATTTTGCGCCTCAGGTACTGCCGCATGATTGGCGAATCCTCAGTGCTGGCGTGTGCGTGGGATTCGCACAGATGCTCGAGATTCATGGCTCAAGTTAGCGGTACAAGATTCAACTCACGCTGACGGACGGCCAGTTGACGGAGCTCCCAAGATCCGTCTTCGCGCGGTTGGCGCATTGCCTTGGATTGAAGCACCACCCACCGCCCTGGGGGGAGAAAAACAGAATGAATAAGGCAAATGAGGACGAGAGAACTGGGGCCGGATGCAGCTGGAAGGGTGAGCGTGATTTTCATCGAATGCTGCCGCAAAGGCAGAGCAGCTAGAAAATTCATATGTTGATGCCAAATGCAGCTTTGCAAATTGACATCTATTGAATCCATTTAGCAAAGCGTGAGTCAAATATGTTAAGCCCCGTTCCAGAACTCACTTCCAGAAAAAGAATCCACTTGTTGGCGCCCGTGCCGTACCCCTCGCGAAGGTAGTAACCCGGCATGCTGCGAAAACATTGATGAAGGGTACAGGCGAAATCTAAGCGTGGGAATTATAAGGTAGCATAGATAGCCGTTCAGTACGAGACGCATTGAAAAAAAATAAGGGAGAGTTCGTTTAAGGAGCAGTGTCCATTCCTACCTCCCGTCCAGGCATCGACCTCGCGTCTGCTCCTTCGACAGCATGTGAAGCCGCGCGACGCGGCCGCCAGGATTAACGGACGACGCGCTTACTGCTGGCTTGGGACTCGAGCCGCCATTGCCGTTCCCATTCAAATCGCCGCGTGATTTGAAGTCTGCTAGTGCGGAGGCAAGCAGGTTGCGTGGGCGCGCGGGATTCACGGACGCGGAAGCGAGGGCTACAGAGAGCACGAACGGCACGAGTACGAGGGCGACGTTCAAAAGCGAGGCCTGGCGGGGGGGACGACGGTTTCGACCGATGCGCTGCTGGCTTCGCGCCATATTCTCCGGGACGAACGCAATATTCTGGTTGCTCTTGGCAGGATCAATAATACAAGCTAGAACGTTTGCTAGTTGTTTGGGCACGCTAGAAGGTCTAATTGAAGAGTAAGAGGCTCCTATGGATAAACACTGTGGGCCAAGAATCGCCAGGGTCTGATTGACAAGTTGGTAATTCTTCAAAATGACCTATTTCTCGTCGCCCTCCTTTACCAACGGATAGTCAATGCGCTCTGCTAGCTGGTCTGGTCCAGGTCCTTTACAATGGTCATAGCAAGTTGCAAGCTTCTTCCACAATCCAAGAATCTCCAGACACTATTCAGCAAGGTGCTCTCAGCGCAGTCGATTCTCCTCTGCGGTGCCGAAGCGCAGTCGCCACGCGCACGCTCAGGTAAGCCGTTAGGACTACACGACAGACATTTGTAGAGAATATCTAAACCTGCACTGGTTGATACTAGAATTCGCCTGGACCAAGCCCAGGCCTGGAGATGAATTTGTGGTGTGTCCATCGTGGGTGTGGAGGGAGGTCGAAATTGGGTTTCCAACATTCGACATTTTGCCTCTCGATGTTGGAAATACCGTGTCGCCCATGCGCGTCGCGTCCTACTGGAATGAGCGGGAGAGGTGGCGGAATCGCGAACCGCCAAAAATGGGATTTGCTCACTCGCTAGTCGTTTTGCTTTGTTTTCCTCCGTTTAGCCAATGCTTCGATTTATCGTAAGACAATCGTGGGAACGTGGACCACTGTTGAGAGGGGTATCAATATACAGGAGTTTATGAATACTGTGAGCCTAGCTAACCTATTGTTCTGAGTCAAGGATTTGATATGTCTTGATGTCCTACACTGTATGACTTGGTTGGGTTGGGTTGGGGTATCTGGCTCAATCAGCTTGAGAGACAAAATCACATCGGTACGACTGTCATAATACTTAGGCTAGGATGTGGTGATTAGGTCAAGGGGGGAGTACAAGAGTGTCGAGAGAAATTTGTGTACCCCCTAATACTAACCCCCATATAGCCTAACATAACTAAACATGCATATAAATGGCAACCCACTACAGGCTATAATATTTGACACACCCCCATAGCCTAAGTGGGGAATGCCAAGCAACAAAAAACACAACCTAAGGTCACAAGACCAGTCACAAGCAAGAGACAAAAACACAGCTCAGGGTGGATCACAACGTCACCACACAGTCTGAGCACAAACAAGGGGCCACAAGGCCAGTTCAGGAGTGTACAAACTAATATATATATGATACAAGCAAACAAGAGGCAAGAAATCACTACTGCAGTCTACTAGACCCAGTCTCAACGAGACCTAACTGCAGACAAAACCGAAGGTGGTCACAAGGCTGAAGAACTTTGGTGAAGATGTCTGCAGTGTTGGCCTCGGAGGCCACGAAGTCCAGACGTGCCTGACCGCGTCTCTGCAACTCCCGAAGGAGGAAGTACCTGACGTTGATGTGCTTCACTCTGCTCTCCAGTCGAGGCTCACGACACAGGAGAATCATCGCCCTGTTGTCAGCAAACAAGGTCGGTGCAGAGCTCGGCCTCTCACCAAGGTCAGTGAGCAAGAAGGTCAACCAGCGTAGCTCCTGTGCAGCGAGGGCTCCAGCGTAGATCTCGGCCTCTGCGGTAGAAGTCGCAACAGAGGAGGACCGAGTAGACCTCCACGAAACAGCTCCAGAGCCTAGGCTGAAACAGTAACCCTGCGTAGACCTCTGAGTCTCAACGTCGTCGGCGTACGAGGAGTCGCAGTGACCGGTGAGTACAACTGGCTGTGTCCCTCCAAGTACAAGCCCCATGTCTGATGTCGCGCCGAGGTACTACGCCACCCTCTTAGCAGCCGTCCAGTGAACAGGACGGTGTCTCCCAGTCGCAACAAAGCGAGAAAGGATGCTAAGAGGGAAGGCGAGGTCCGGGCGAGTGCAGGTCATCAGGTACATGAGGCAGCCCACCAGCTCT